TGAGCCTGTGAAAGTGCCCCGTTCGTCACGGTGCCCTTTGTTCCGGGCTTGGCGGGCAGGCCGAGGTACTCTCGCTCTTTCTCTTCCATACTTTTGTGCTTCGGCACAGAGTCAGACCTGCTTCTGGGCGCACCAGAGGTGCTTGACCGAGCATCTGGCCTTGCGATATCCTGGGACGTCAGTCGACGTTCTCGACCCGAAGCGGAAGTGGTCGTAGAAGCAGGCGCAGCTCTCTGACTAGACACTGGCTCCTGCACGTTCGCAGGCTCAGATAGGCCTTTGGGTGACAGCGCGGTCGGCAAGATCAAGCTGATCTTTTTGCCCTTTGGACCTGTAGCAGTTTGCGGAGAAGCCACGCCTGCTGAGGGTCCGCTTTGCGTAGTCTTTGCAGAGCTGACCGAAGGAGCACGATGAGGTGCCGCAAGAGGAGGCGGTTGAGAGGACCTTGCTCTAGGAGAGTGAATCTCGGCCGTTCGAGCAGAATGACTTGGTTCAGAGAGTCCGGCATTCTGGCTGCCATCTGACTCAACTACGCCCATAGATCTTCCCGCGACGATCTGCGGACTCGTAGACGCGAAATGTCTAGAATCCGCTGGTAGCGACGCAAACGCATGACCGCTTGTGCTGGAAGAAGCCAGAATGACACCTCGCTCAGACTGGTATGCCACGGTGCTTGAATCCACCTTGCTGCCCGATGCCGATATCGCTCTATTGTCTCCCAACACTGCTTCCGTCTGAATGGGGCTGGACGAAAAGATGGAGTTTGGCGGGGCGATGAAGGAGGTGCTGGAGCCCGTTGAAATGCGCTTTTGAGCTGGCACAGTGCTGGTCGACGGGGCACTAAACTGCTGAGCTGATGCACGGACAGGTCTTGGAGCTACCACTGGAGTCTCGGACGGAGCTGGTTGCACTTGAGGACTAGCATTTGGAGCCGAGGCATGTCCGTGCTTCAGCCTTTGCGAACTGAAGTCTTGAGGTCTCAGCACAGCGTCTAGGCTAGCTGACGGCGATTGTACAGTCTGTTGCGGTTGCAGGTATGCCCTGGGTGTTTGTAGACCCGCTTGACTGGGCTGGTGTCTGGATTGGTCTGTTTGAAGTCCTCTCGCCTGCGACGCGAGCTCTACCGGCTTCTCAGGCTCACTCGAGCGATGAGCTCTTATCATAGACTTGCTCTCCCGCGTGAGTCCGCTAGTACGACTGACAGGGAGTCTGGTTGACTTGGATGTGCCACCAGAGCTGATTTGGACAGGTGGACGAGTCGCGGCTCTAGCTGCGTACCTGTCTGTGGCAGGATCGCTGAAAAGCGTGCCGCGCGGTACTCCAGCAGCCGAGGATGCCGTCGGGGACGGTGGCCTATCTCTAGCGGTGTAATCCCTAGGCTGGAATGTTGAAGGCGATGTCTCGCTGGAGACCGGCGCCGGCACTGGCGAGCTCGCAGCTGCGCCGTTGGCTGCATGCCCATCAACACTGGCGGCGTGCGACTGCACACCTACCCCATTTTCCAAGACTGGCAGACTGTCAGCACGCCCTACCGCATCTGGTAACAGGCGAGGCGACATGTGGCTATCCGCATGTGTCGCTTCCGTACGAGCTGCCGTTGTGCGCATGCTCGATACTCTCGAAAAGGCGTTGGGCATCCCCAAGGCTTCCTTATCGATGCGACCAGTGGAAACCGTCTGCAAGATCGGCGGTCGCGTTTCGGCCGTAGTCTGTCTAGGAGTGGCTGGTCCGACCAACTCCCTAGTCGCATTGACAGGACTATGCTCGCTCGTACCTTCTGGCGATTGATGCGTGGCAATGAAGCGATCCAACGGTGAATCTGCATCACGCAGTGCTGAAATCTCTGCCGACTCGTTGGACGAGGAAGACCATTTCTTGCTCACAGCTGGACGATCATCGTGATCGCTGGAGCGAACGTTTCCCAGTACTTCGTCGGCTTGCGGGTGGACAGGTTCAGCGGTCTCAGAGCCGGACAGTCGAGCCACGACGCCTCTCCACCATGCCCCTATGCTGCCGCTGCCTTGCCTTCGAGATCGAGCTTCCTTCGCGTCTTGCACCTTCTCGTCGAGCTCTTCCTCCTGCTCGATATCGTCCAGAGCAGTCAACTTATACCGTCGTTGGTCAGGCCGGAAGGTCTTGCGTTCAGGCGCAAATAACGGTGGCGGCGTGTCATCGTAATGCAGCGACGGTAGGGTCGGCAAGGCAGGCTTGGCGATATGAGACATCAAGCCTCTGGATTCTCTGCGAATACTGTCGTCTTGATCTCCATCAAACGCGTCATCCTCTTCGTTGTCGTCGAGGTTCCCCGTGTCTTCAGCTTCCGGGTCGTAGAGAGGGTCGAGGGCGCGGTTGCCTTTGGGTCTGCCCAGCGATGGGTCATTCTCGCCTGAAGCTGCTGCCGAGGAGAGACCTCTACGCATCTTTGAGCGTGAATCTTGCTCAGCCGCCTTTTTCTCGGAGTCAGGAACCGAGCTAGCGGCGGTGTCCTCTACATCCACATCTCCAGACCCCTCATCCGGTCCACCTCCGTCTTTGAAGAAGCTCTTGCTCGCTGCTTTGGCCCTTTGCCTCTCACGATCGAGCTCGGCCCACCGATCTCTGCCCATTGCCTTCTCCAAGTGGTCGTACTTTTGCCTGCGAACTTCGTCGACATAGGTAAAGTCGCGTCCTCTAGATCTGGAGAGGACGTACCTCGAAGAGTCTTTCATACCGTACCACCAATCCCTGAAATCGATGACATCCTTGAATGCCGCCCATCTCTTGGTCCTCCGCGTGCGATCTGCAGGCCGATAGATCTTGTGAGTGAAGGCTACCAGATGAACAAAGCCGAAGATGAACATTTCGAATGTTTCCAGGAGTGCATTGATGCCTACTTGCACCTCCTCTACCGTCATGTACTCTGTCTCTTTGATGACGTTGAAGTAAGCGAGGATGGAGAGGAAGGTGGATTGCCAAAAGACGAGAAAAACGATGGTCTTGACGGACAGAAACTTGAGGACTGGCGAGTAAGGTTTCAGCTCTTTCTGAACCGGAAGGTAGAACTGCACCACGCAGTACATGGCCACGGTGACGGATATACTGATGATCAGCGAGATGTAGATGTGTCCGAATTTGGGACTCCAGGAGGCCAAGCAGTAGTAGCCAAAGTACTCGAGAGCGACTGCTGCGAGCGTGCAGACTGGCCGGACGATGGCATACTGCAAGATGGAGATCTTCATCAACCAAAGAAAGTGCAATCCTGAGGGTCGATACTTCCACCATCCCAATGGGAAGAACCACTTTTTGAGCTTGACATTGCGGAAAACTTCGTCTTGCTCCACCGGCGTGTCTCCAATATATTGCAGCAAAAGGTAGAAGAAGGAAGTGATCACTACGCTCTCGTAGCAATCGCGTACCGTTTCGTAGTAGATCGCCTGCGTCGCGAGGATGAGGAGGCGTCAGCCGCATCGCCAAGAAGCACGTCGCGCTGACAAGGCGACTCACATGATTGTAGTAGAAGTAGGAGAGCCAAGAGACGATTGCATAGATTGGCACCATGAGTAGCATCCTCACAATGTGTCTTTGCTGTTGCGGGCAGGTATAGAA